GGCCACTGTCACACGAAGGGCCAAAAAGCCCCAACAGCAGCCCAGACAAGACAAGACAAGAGACAACAGCAACAGCAACAGCAACAACATAACAAAAGGCACAAAACGAAAAAACTGTAAGAGTTAGAGCTAAAGGAAGTGCGTGCGGGAGGGAAAAAGAATCTGTTATCAGGTACACGGTGCGAAATAATTGATAAGGAATGAGAAATTGGCATACGGGAATGACCGTTAAAGGAATGATAATTGAGCTATTAAAGACGACATCGAAGAAGGAGCTGTTATTCAGCAAACCAAGACACAATATTGATATACAATGGATATTACTTTGTGGATCACGACATATATAAACCTTAAATAAATGACAAGAGTTGTGAGACTTCCTGAACAGAGCTCTTAAAGTTACCGAAATTTTTTTTATTTATTATATTTTCAATTACCGTAGAATTCAATTATAAAGACTCCGCTCATATCGACCGTACGACGAAAATTCTGGTTCCCAGACAAACTTATGTATATGAGTAAACTTAAATGCTTATAGCGTCTTCTGGATATTCCTTGAGCGTCGTTAGAATCGGATACTACTACTAGTATAAGAACAAATCCCTAAAGCTAAGCTTTACTTCGGTAGTTTAGCTCGAATCGAACTGAGAGTACCTATAGCTCAGGGATAGCTAGTTAGTTTTGGTATATTTTATCCTTTTTTATTTTTAAAACTTTAATACATTAAGTTAGATATTTTAGTCAAGTTTAAAAAAGATAAAAAGAGCCGTAGCTGGGATATCAGTTCTTCGAAGGGGCTAGGGTATATCCTAGTCGAACAGTCGCGACTAGAGCTTTATTAATGGTTCAGTCTAGCTTTGGCTCTGCTCTTGAATCTGGCTTGGGCTACGTCAGAGCGTACGATTGTCCAATTCCAATTCCGTAATATAAAACAATTATTATGAATACATTTTAGAAATCTTATTCTCAAATATGTCTGATAAAAATAAAGAGAAAATAAAATTCGACTTTTGACTTAGAAATCATTTTTTCTTTTTTTTTTTCAAATTTGTATGGCTAAAATTTTAAAGATAAACTGTTTTCTTTGCAACTTTAAATTAAATATAGCTATAAACAATTGTCAGTGTATCCGTGCCTGTGTGGCTCAGTCTCCGGCCTTTTACTCTGTCTGTAACTCAGTTTTGACCCTCGCGAGTTTCCGATGTTGTTGTTGTTGTTGTTGTTGTTGTTGCATCTGATTAGGCATCGCTCGATTTAACTGTCATTTGCAGGGGGCAGCCATGCTGGGAGACAGTTAGACAGGTAACTAACTGCAGCTAAGACGATTACGTTGACGTCTGCGTCAGAGAACTTGCACAACTCGCTCATCTCTCCCCAGATGCTGGCGCTTGGGTTGGCATTCGCATTGCCACAGCGCAATTTACATAAGCAGACCGACCAGAAGCCCTTCAACCGAGTGCCAAATATATTTGAAATAAAAAAAAAAAAATAAAAATAAAAATAAAATCAAAACAAAAAATAAATAAAAAATGTAATAAA